CCTGGGGGACAGACAACAGAAAAGTGGGTGAAGGGAGACATTGGACAGTGTAAGACATGAAAAAAGGATAATAATTTATAAATTATCAAGGGCTCATGAGGGAAGGAGAGAGGGGAAGGGAGGGGGAAAATGAGGAGCTGATACCAAGGGTTCAAGTAGAAAGAAAATGTTTTGAAAATGATGATGGCAACAATTGTACAAATGTGCTTGACACAATGGATGTATATATGGATTGTAATAAGAGTTGTATGAGCCCCCAATAAAAAGATTAAAAAATATATATACAACTTTCCTCTAGTTCTTTAATGTTTACTACCCCCCCATTCTCCCCCCACTATATTGATCCCAATTCTACTTTATAAATCTGGCTAGACCAGAGCATGTACACGGGTCCAGATAAGAGCTGGAAACACAGGGAATCCAGGACAGATAAACCCCTCATGACCATTAATTCAAGCATTGATACCAGGAGGGTAAGCGGAAGGTGGGGGGAGGAAGGGGGAACCGATCACAATCATCTACATATAACCCCCTCCCTAAGGGACGGACAACAGAAAAGTGGGTGAAGGGAAACAGCAGTCGGTGTAAGACGTGAAAATTTTCTTTATAAATTATCAAGGGTTTATGAGGGAGGTGGGGTGGGGGAAGGGGGAAATAAACTGATGCCAAGAGGTAAGTAGAAAGAAAATGTATTGAAAATGAGGATGGCAAAAAAAAGAAAATGATGACAACATATATACAAATGTGCTTGACATAGTGGATGTATGTATGGATTGTGATAAGAGCTGTAAGAGTCCCCAATAAAATGATTGAAAAAAGAAATCAGATGTATGTCATGATTGCCGAAGACAAAATAGGTGCATAAGCAAATGTGGCGAAGAAAGCTGCTGGTGCCCAGCTATCAAAACCACACTGTCTGTGGTCTTAAAGGCTTGGAGTTAAATAAACGGCCATCTAACAGGGAAACAACAAAGCCCACATGGAAGAAGCATACCAGCCTGTGTGATCATGAGGTATCAGAAGTTCAAAAAACACACATTCAAATTGAAATGAAGGGGACTGGATGTAATGGAGACAAAGTCCACCAGCAAGACAATTGGACAGTCCCTCTTAGAAGGGCCTCACAGAATGGAGGATAAATTGAGGGTGCAGTGTGGCACTGATGAACCACATAACTATCCTCTAGTTAAGTGCTTTTCAACCTTCCTAATGCTGAAACCCTCGTGTGGTGACCCCCAACCATAAAACCATTTTCGTTGCTACTTCGTAACTAATTTTGCTACTGTTATGAATCAGGCAACCCCTGTGAAAGGGTCGGTGGACTACCCCTCCCCAAGGGGTCATGACCCACAGGTTGAGAACTGCTGCCCTAGCTTTTTAAGATTTCCTCCCCTTACTATTGTGGTCCGTATGTGACATACCGTACCTCATTGGTCATGTTAGACTTGTGTATGTTCATTTGTTCATTTAAGATTGCTCAATACAAGGCAGTCAATATAGATGACCCCTCAGAGACACTGACAGGAGTAATGGTTCCCAGAGGATATGGGAAGCGAGGGGGGTGGGGGGAGAGTTGACAACATTGATGATTATATAGCCCCACCAAAGGAATTGAGCAACAGAAGTGTATAGGAAGGGAAGGGATATATTGGAATGAGTAAGATATGTCAATAAAAATATTACTTGGAAAAAGAAAGAAATCAGTGATTATTACATTGGGGAAACCTGCTGCAAAAGACCTCTTTAAAGTGTTAAAAGGCAAAGATGACCCTTGATGATTAAGATGTACCTAACCCAAGCCAAGATGCCCTGTTGGGTGAGCATTGGACTGCTAACTTCAAGGTTGGGGGTTCAAGCCACAAGTTCAGAGGTTCAAACCCATCAATCATTCCTTGGGAGAAGGATGATGCTGTCTGCTCCTGTGAAGATTTCCCAAAATCTTGGAAACACCATGAGTTGGAACTGACTTGATGACAGTGGGCCTGGTAACCGGAGCCACGGTGTTTCACTCGCCTCATGTCCGCGTGGAAGCCGGCCACTGAATGAGGACCAAAGAAGAATGAGTGCAATGGAATATTATGATGGGGTGAAGAGTATTGCATGTTCCATGTACTGTCTTGGAAGAAATAACCATAGTCCCTGGAGAAGGATATCATTCTTGGAAAAGTGTGGGGTCATTAAAAGAGAGGAAGATTCTTAGCAGGATGATTGACAAAGTGGCTCCAGCGATAGGCTCAGATATAGCAACTATTCTGAGATGACTGCAGGTCTGGGCAATGTTTTATTTTATTGCACTTAATCGCAGCAACAATGAAGCTTTTCAGCCATCACCTATTAGGTTGCATACCAAGACTTCACCAAGATCGGTCTCATTAATGTTTTCTTTAAGGATTATCCCAACTCCTAGTTCTACTCGGAGGATAGAGTAGAACTGCCCCACAGGGTTCCTAAGGCTACATCTCAGCAGAAGCAACCCATTACATCTTTCTCCCCTGGAGCAGTGGATAGATTGCTAAAAGTTGGCAGTGGAGCACTTTAACTACTGTGCCACCAAGACGCCTTTCATGTAGGGACCAGAAAGCTCTGATGCAGAATTTCTCTGGCTTGCTCTATTGAATTTTTAGGCCATATGATTCTTTGGTGTGTGTTTACTGTGGGGTATGCATGTGTTGTCCATGCATCGTAGTTGGTTTCGCTCCATCCTCGGTCCTCTAATCTCCACATGCTGGTAGCACCTCCCTCCTCCAGCTGTGACAAGTGAAAATGTGTCTGGACACTGTCAGAGCCCTAGGGGACAAATAGTCCATGTCTGATGACCATTGCCCTAATCTGTAACGGTGGCACAAGGCACAAAGTTAGGTTGTATTAGCCTGAGCATAAAATTGCCGAGTTAGCCCATCTTCTCAGGAAGCAAAGGAAAAGAAAAAGAGGAGGGGTGGGGATGGGGGTGGGACAAAGGATGAGAGAAGGGAAAAGGCAAGGAAGATGGAGAAAGGGAAGGATCAGGAGGACAAGGAGAGATGGGGAGGAAGGCTGGAAGCAAGGACAGAAGGATGGACCAGCTGCTGGGAAAGAAGCTTAAGGAAGGAGAGACATCAAAACAAAACAAGACAATCATATAAAAGGGAATGAAGGGGAGGGGAGTGGAGACCCAAAGTCCATCAGCAGTCAATTGGACGTCCCCTTACGGAGGGTCACAGGAAGAGACCAGCCAGTCAGGTGCAGTACAGCACCAATGAAACACACAACCTTGTGTGTCCTCTAGTTCTTCAATGCCTTCCCACCACTGCCCACTATCATGACCCCAGTTCTACCTTACAAATCTGACTAGACCAGAACGTGTACACTGGTACAGATAAGAGCTCAAAACACAGGGAATCCTGAACAGATAAATCCCTCAGGACCAATAAGGGGAGCAGTGATACTGATACTAGGAGGGTAAGGGAAGGGGGGTGGGGGAAGGGGGAACTGATCACAGTAATCGACATATGGCCCCCTCCCAGGGGGATGGACAGCAGAAAAGTGGGTGAAGGGACAGTGGTTGGTGTAAGACATGAAAAAAAAAATTTATCAAGGGGGTATGGGGGAGGGAGGGAAAAAATGAGCTGATACCAAGGGCTCAAGTAGAAAGAAAGGTTTTGAAAAAGATGATGACAACATATGTACAGATGTATTTGACACAGTGGATATATATATGGATTGTGATCAGAGCTTCAAGAGCCCCCAATAAAATTTAAAAAAAAAAAAAAAAAAGGAAGGAGACAAAAGAGAGCCGTCGCTGGCCTTCTGGTATGTTGTTTAATATTTAGACTTCTTAGCTCAGCGGTTTTCAACCTTCGTAACGCCACGGCCCTTTAATACAGTTCCTCATGTTGTGGTGACCCCAACCATAAAATTATTTTTGTTGCTACTTAATAACTGTAATTTTGTTACTGTTATGAATTGTCCTATAAATATCTCATGCAGGGTGTGTTTTCATTGTTACAAATTGAACATAATTAAAGCATAGTGATCAGTCACAAGAACAATGTCATTATAGATTGTGAAACATTTATTTCTAATGACAAATAAATGAAATGTCTTGAAGCATGGTGTAGCATGGGTAACAGTCTTCCCGCAGGGTACTTGGAGGTGGGCGTATCTGCATGTGGGCGGACCCATCTGGAGAGGGATAGAGGAGCGAGCGGTGTCTAGGTCCCTAAGACCATCGGAAATATGTGTTTTCTGATGGTCTTAGGCGACCCCCATGAAAGGGTCGCGACCCACAGGTTGAGAACCGCTGTCTAAACTGGCCTGTTCTGCAAGCTTGGCCCTCATTGTGCCCCTCCACCTGCGGATGACTGCTCAGCTCCGTTGAGAGGATCAGGTCCAACCCTGGAGCGTGGCTTACAAGCGCTTCATCCGTCTTTCTCAGTTGGCCTCACCTCAGCGTCACTGCACCTCCCACTGCGGACTGACTTGTCCTGCGCCCCTTCTTCCCACGCGGCCGCAGCCGCACGTGCTCTTCCTCCGTTTGGAAACCTCCCCGCTGCTCTCCCCTTCCCACCTCTCCCAGCTAACTGGCAGTCATTCTTAGATGGTACTTCCTCCAAGAGCAGAACGAAAACCGCGGCGAGTGGGGAGAGGGGAAAGAGGGAAGAAGAGAGGTGTGGGCATCCGCCGTGGAAAGAGGTCTGTGTGGGGCTGTAAGGTACGCAGATTGAGAGCATGTGGAACAGATTCGGGGCAAGAAGGCTGCGTTCTGAGCAGTAAATGTGAGAGCCAGCCTTTCCAAATATGCCCCTTCCCATGCCCGGCCCCACTCCCCCTGGATGCTCATCACAACCCCCCAGCTCAGGCAGAGTGTCAGTCCGACCTTGCCCTTGTTCATGACCTCTTGCTCATACGGTGCCTACCTGAGCCCTATCGAGGGACTCTGAATGGGGTACCCCACGGTAAGCCAAGTCTGCCTGCTCCCCACCCCTCCCAGCATTTTGTCCCCCTCTCTCCATGTCCCGCAGAATCTGAAGAAGAGCTGGCACCCGCAGACGCTCCGCAATGTGGAGAAAGTGTGGAAGGCCGAGCAGAAGCATGAGGCCGAGCGCAAGAAGATCGAGGAGCTGCAGCGGGAGCTGCGGGAGGAGCGTGCCCGGGAAGAGATGCAGCGCTACGCAGAGGACGTCGGGGCCGTCAAGTGAGGGCAGGGCGCGCTGGGCGTGGGGGTGTCCTGGGGTGCAGGGTGTTGAAGGGCTGGCCTGCAGGCACATCATCTTCCTCTTCTCCTCCTCGAAGCCGAGCTGAGTTAGCTAAAAGTAGCACCTCGGGACTCCATCTGACCTGGGGCCAAGCCTGGATTGGCATGTCCTCGATTTGTTGACTGCATGCAAGTTTGGGGGCCTTGGTTTCCTCAGGAGAACTACGGGGTGGTGACATCCAACTCCTTTAGGGTCCTCAAGGGACTCAGTGTGGGCCAAGCCCATAGCAGGGGATGGACTGGATGGTCATGAATTGAACAGGAAACCCACGTAGGCTGCACCTGGCCTCTGTGTGTGTCAGCCACGTGCAGTGCTGCGTGAGTGTGTGTACGCACTGAAGGCACGTTTGGGGATGCAGGGGCTGGGGTGGCAGTGAGGTCCAGTGGAAGGAGGTGTGGCCTGGAAGTCAGGTGAGACTCTGTCTGTAGAAGCTGTGTGACCATGAACTACCCCCCTGGTTTCCTCCCTTGTGACCTAGGAGTCTGTTTGGACGCCTGGCAGCCCCAGAGTGAAGCTGCTCCTGAGGCTTTTGAAGGCTGTTGCCTCTCCGAAGCAGCTCACCACGCCTGTCTTCCGAGGCACATCTGAGTGGGTTCACACCGCCAGCCTTCCTCTGGGGTTCAGTGCTTCACCTCTTGCCTGTGACACTCAGAGCCTTCATTACTTTTGGGGTTGCAGATAATAATCCCCCCACTCATCTCCAAAAGACAGTGGCAAAAGGAAAAAGAAAAAACAAATGAGGCCGTGGCATCACCATAATTTTTTGCGTGATATGCACTCACCTCGGTAACATTTGCATGCGGACACAGCATGCCCAGCAGCCGGGGAGGTTAGGCTTGAAGGTCTTAAGTGGTTTGCCTTCCCCCCAACCCCCAAACCAAAAAAGCCCTGTAAGACACACAATTGAAAATAGGAAGCTTAAAATCATCAGTACGTTCCTGAATCGCAGCGAAAGCGCCCAATAGCAGGGAGTCTGCCAGGGCACAGCCAGTCTGTGCTCATGTTCCCTCGCTCCCTCTGGCAGTGTCCTCAGTGGGGTGTGCATGCGGCCCCATTGGGTATGCCAGGGCTTTTCCTTACCAATTTGACGACACAAACATTTGTGACATTGGCGTTTTTTGTGTGCAGCTTTGCTCTAATTCACGGAAAGGGCATTTGGTTTTTGACTTTTTTTTTCTTTTGCTCTTTTGCTTGAACTAGGAAGAAAGAAGAAAAACTCGACTGGATGTACCAGGGTCCTGGTGGGATGGTGAACCGTGATGAGTACCTGCTGGGGCGCCCCATTGACAAATACGTGTTTGAGAAGACGGAGGAGAAGGAGGCGGGCTGTTCTTCTGAGACCGGGCTTCTCCCAGGTTCCATCTTTGCCCCGTCGGGTGCCAATTCCCTTCTTGACATGGCCAGCAAGATCCGGGAAGACCCACTCTTCATTATCAGGAAGAAGGAAGAAGAGAAGAAAAGAGAGGTGCTGAACAATCCCGTGAAAATGAAGAAAATCAAGGAGCTGCTGCAGATGAGCCTGGACAAGAAGGAGAAGAAGAAGAAGAAGGAGAAGAGAAAGAAGCACAAGAAGCGGAAGCACCGCAGCTCGAGCAGCGAGCGAGCCAGCAGCGAGGATGAGCGCAGCCGGGGGAGGTGAGCTCCAGAAATGGACCCCTTCCCTCCCGAATCCATCCATCTGTGATTCCCCTCACAGATGTCACCTGCACGCCTGCGCTGGGACAGGGATAGGCAGGCTCCAAGGGGCCTTAGCCCTGTGCCCATTGACCCTGCCATCTAGCTCCCGACTCTCTTGGGGATGATGAGTGGGGTTAGCTTGTGTGCCCCGGAGGAGAGACCGCTAGCAGAGCTGTTAGCCTCCGAGTCTTGGTGTGACTCCCCCAGGACTACAGTGGATTTTGTGTTGGGCTTTTTCTTTCTTTTTTTTTTAAATGGAGTCATTGGCCCATGTGTCTTCCCCGTGGGAGCAGTTGTCGCTTCTGCTGACTCACGGCTAGTCCCCGGAATAGCAGCACAAGGTGAGAGGCAAATGTATTCAGGGGGTGGGGCTGAGAAGCTAAGCCCACGGTTTTTCACAGGAAAACCACAGCTGCTGCTGCATCGCCCCACAGAGACTGTCCACGTCCAGGTGGGGTGGGGGTGGGCTGTCTGGGAGAGGCAGCGTCCTGTTGGAAGCAGGAAACGGGTCCACTTTCTTTTTCAATGAGTGTGTGTGTGTTTCTTCCCTTAGGTCTCAAAAGAAGATGGCCAATCGCTCCCCTGTGTTGTCCAAAGCCGCCGGATATGGCTTACAGGTAGGGAATGTGGGCCTCCCAAAGGGAGTGGCAGTGGAATGTGCTGCTGGACCACCTTTGGGAGGGATGGAGCACAATTTCAGCAGCCAACCGAACACCAGGCTGTGGGAGGATGGGGGCTGCTGGGGAGCAGGCTCCCTTCTTTGTCCCGATCCTCTTCCTGCACCTGAGGGTCCTCTGAGCAGAGAGGGGGCATTGGGGCTCTCTACGGGGCATGGTGCCCTGACTTCCGGTACGGACTGAGACCCTGGACAGGGGCTGGTGACTCTGAACAAGCCTCTGTTCGGCACCTTTGGGCCCGTGCTCCGTGCTTCTCTGGAGAGCCAAGCAAGGAAGTCACTGGAGGTGGTGGTATGGGTGTGTCCTTTCTGGCTACTTGAGAGGTGACATTTCCTCAGTGGCTTGGGGTCTCAGGAACAACTCAGCAGGTGATGTGCTCACTCATTCCCCCCCCTAGTGCCTCTGCTCCTGAGCCCCCGGGCTTCTTTACGACTCGATTTCTTCTCTTTCTCCAAATGACTTTTCTCCCTCTCCCTCAATGCTCCAGGTCCGGGACTCAAACCACACCCAGAGACTGCAGGGTCCTCTGGCGGCCGAGCCGAAGGGGGTGCACAGGCTGAGGAGCCATTCCAGGTCCAGAAGCTCCTCCCACTCGCCCCCCAGACACACCAGCAAGAAGAGCACCAGGGACAGGAGGTCTCGGTCCCCAAGACCCAGCACATCGTGAGTGCGGGACCCCTGGGAAGTAACCTGTGGAGGCAGGGCCCGGTCACAGCAGGGCTTTGCTCCTGGTGACGTCGTCATTGACTTTTCCACGAGTCTCCATTTTTGTTGTTTCCCTCACATTACTATTATTATTTTTAAACACTCCCATTTCAAACTCCCGCCCTGGGACCATCTCTGCGGGTATAGACAGGGAGAGCCAGAACGGGATGGGACAGCCTAGCTTTTCAGTGTCTCGCCGTCGTTCCGCCTCTCTCAGTCTGCTGTGGGGATTCCTGGAAAAGATTGGCGTGTGCCCCTGCCACAGACTTAGCTTCCGCAGGCCGGTGTGTCCAGCTAGTGAAGTCTCTGGGGTCGGTTTTCCGTCAAGTCCCATGCATCCTCCTGTCTGTTTTTCTGCCGCTTCTGCCCATTCTGCTCCTTGGTTTGTTGAGACTGTTGCTCGTCCTCCAGTGTTTGAGGAGCAGAAAATGAGCCCGTGTGTTGAAAAGGCTTTTCTCCCCTCTACTCTGTGTCCACTGCAGGCACAGCTCCAAGGCCAACAGGAAGGAGAGGGGCCGAACTAGGAGCCCGTCACCTAAAAAGGAGGCCTACCAGCGACGCCACGCTTCTGGCTACACCCGGTAAGTCTGGAGCTCGGGAGGTCACGTCCAACTTTGCAGCCTGAGCCCGGGAGGTGCTCAGACGAGGGGGGCGGGAGGGGGGGGCAAGCGAGATCACCTTTTTGCCCAGCTGACTCTTACTCGCCTTGCCACCCAGCACCAAGGCAGGCACACCAAAGGACAAAATCATTCTGACTTCATGACCAACTAACTGGTGAAGTGACCACCTGTCTCAACGTCGGTGACCACGGTTAACTCTCCGAGAGATTTCCAGAGAGAAGCTTTGCTCAAGAGAACGTGCCTTTCTTTAAAAAGCAAAACACCTTTCCGTGCTGATCTGGGGTGAAAACCTACAGGTCACCTTGGTTTTCCACTCATCCCGCGGGCAATTCTTGCTTCCTGGCTTTGACTGCAGCCCTGCCGTGGCAGCAGGAACAGGTCTTCCTGGTGGGGAAGCAGGCTGGGGCAGACACCCTATGACTGATGTGCTTGTCTGGGCTGGGGGCTGAGGAGGGTGGGCGGTGCCTGTGAAGGTTGCTCTAAGTGGAGGTGTGGAGACCCCCTGAGGAGCTTTCAAAAAAACCCACAAACCCTGGTAGGCCACCTGTCCAGACCTCAGCCCCATTAGCCTCTCGGTGAATCCAGTGTGAGGCCAACATGGAGAGCCACGTGTGTCAACAGGGACTTTTTATTCACGGCATTCTGAGAACAGAGGTGGGCCCCTGGGGTCTTCTTCAGCTCTTAACTGTCCGATTCCCTGACTTTTCAGGGGGCTGAAACTTTTTTAAAGGGTTAAAGTATTTGGATGGGTCATGTCCAAGATCTGTCAGGTGTTTATTTCCCCGCCCTCCCAGACGAAGTGTTTTGGACAAGATGGAATCTCTTTTCACCTTGGTTGGTGGCTCGAGGTCTGCCTTCACAATGGCTGTGCTGCGACCCAGGCTGCCCTGGGGGCGCCTCATGAGCGTGTGCGTATCCTTTTAGTGTAAGGCTGTTGGTCACTGCATGACTATGATCTTTCAGGTCCTACTTTATATTTAACAGCCAAGTGGTGTAAGAACATTATCCCTCAGAACAGCAGCCCCTTGGCCCCTCACGTCGCCGCGTACATGAGCCCCGAAAACCTGACACTGAGGGAGTGAGACCCAGCCGGAGAGCCGTGGATGCTGTCACTGGCAAATGTGTTGAGACAAAAGGAGATGAGTGCTCACCCTGTGTAATGACCCTTTCACGGGGAGGGGTTGCCCGATTCATAACAGCAGCAAAACCACAGAAAGTAGCAACAAAAATCATTTTATGGTTGGGGGCGGGGGTCACCATGACATGAGGAATTGTATGAAGCAGGCATTAGGAAGGTTGAGAACTACTGGTTTGGAGAGAGTTGTAATTTAAAAAATAAATGAAAAAGATCACCAATAAAAAAAAGGAAAAAGTGTTTGTTTTGGCAGCACATATACTAAAATTGGAATGATACAGAAAAGATTAGCATGGCTCCTGCACAAGGATGACATGCAAATTCGTGAAGCGTTCCATTTTTTTTTTTAAAAAGGGGAAGAAAACCAAAAACCTGCACGTACTGTATGGAGGAGCAGAGCCCGTGTGTTGGCGGGTGGGAGGGTGAGGACTGGGGGTTTGTTTTTGTTTTTCCCAGGAGAGACGGTTTGGTAGGATGGTTTCATGTTCAACAAGGGGCAGCATTTGGGGGCCAGTCATTTTGGGTCTTGTCTGGAGGGCCGTTCGGTTTCTTCAGAGGCAAAGCACCTGGCTGTTGGTTTTGGGGAGGCAGCGCAGCTCCTGGTGGGAGCCAGGTCTCAGTGTGGACTTCCTCATCTCCTCTGTGCAGTCTCCTGGCCCTGCCAGCTGCCTCTGCAGTCCCTGCAGCGTCTGCATCTTCTGAACACCTGTCTGGCTTGGTTTTTCCCCCGGAGAGTAAACCGTGCATCTCCTGCAGACATCAGAGAGTAGTTGTCTGGCTTCCCCAAGGTTGGGCATGAGGACCCAGCGCTGTCTTTGTGTTTCTGACCCTGAGCCTGCCCCGGCTTTTCAGCATGAATCCACTTGCTTCTTAGGATTCTGTTTTCTCTTACCACCACACCTTCGTCCCTGTTCCTCTTTGAACACTTTGTTGATAGACCTCATCCGATGTTGTTTTCTCTCACATTTTCTGTGTGGCTTTTTAAAGGGAAGTAGTCATTTCGCCCTGGGTAACTAGAGGTAGGTTTCAGGAGCTTAAGTGTGTTTCTCAAAACACAGTTCCCAGCCCCATATGCACTCCTGATCATGATTTTTTTCTCTTCCCTTGGGAATCTGTTCATCATGCTCACTTGAAAAGCAGTGCACTCGGAGGTCTGACAATGTTACATAGTGATTGGGTTGCCTTACCCCTCCTCCTCTTGCTTTCCCGCTGTACCTGGTGTGCGTGACAGTGACGATTTACCTATTTTTCTCCAAGGTGAGGTTGAGCTCAGACATTCTGGGCTCTGTCGGTCCTGCATCGGTGTCTCATGGGTGTCTAAGCATCTCCAGTGGGTCGATGATAGCTATTAATAGGTACACGAATAATGTAGACCTCTGTTCTGTAAGTTTTCGAGCTTTTATAAGTCTGGGGGACATAATTTCTATAAATGTAGGCTCCTGAGTAGTTCTCAATTGGCAGACTAATCGTGTTGCTTCAGAGACTGCAGAGCGAGAGTTTGAAATCCTTTGCTGGAAGTCTTTGAAACTTGGATGAAACCCCCTGACTGCTCTGTTTGGGAGGAAGGAAACGGATGCTGGGCTTGACCCTGGGTTGGCCATTTCCTGGGGAAGAGAGCAGTGAGCTGGAGATCCTAGAGCTCGACTCAGTTTCTCTGCCCCCCACCCCCATGGCCTCTGGGGACTTGTGGTTGGTTTTTCCCTGGGAGAGAAGGTTTGATGGGATGGTTTTATGTTTGGCAGAAAGCTCTCGGCAGAGGAACTGGAGCGCAAACGGCAGGAGATGATGGAGAATGCCAAGTGGCGGGAGGAAGCGAGGCTGCACACCCTGGAGAAGCACGGGAAGGAGGAGGAGCGGGAACGGAGGCTGGAGAAGCTGGACACCCGCGAGGGAAAGTTCATCCAGTCAGTACACTCCTCCGCCAGGGCCTGGCTCGCCTGTCTCAGCAAGGCGGCGTGGTGGTGGGCTTTTGGGGTGGCATGTGTTCCTGGGCTTGTGTAGAGAGAGCTCTGTGCCCAACTCTGAGCTGGTACCATGCCCAGCAGCTGGCCAGAGAGTGGGGTGTTTTAAATTTGTCTTTACTCAATCACTGAGACTCCCCAGCCTTTCTTTTAATGAGAATTTAGGCACCAGGAGCCTTTCACCAGAGGTTCTGACTTACCTTTCCAAACAGGTTACTTTTGCCTTATGGGCACTGTTTAAAAAAAAAAAAAAAAGACCCACATAGAATAACTTGAAAGTTCCCTATGCCGGCTTCAGGGCTTCAGAGTGCTTGTGTGTAGAGAGCAGTTTTAAGGCCAGCCACCTGCATTCTGCCAGGTGATCGGCCAATTGAAAGCAAACGTTTCTGACAGCCGCTTGTCTTTTGTTCCTAGCCGCATGAAGCTGGAGAGCGCGGCCACCTCCTCCCTGGAGGATCGGGTGAAGCGGAACATCTACTCCCTGCAGAGGACCTCGGTAGCTCTGGAGAAGAACTTCATGAAAAGATGAAAACCATCCCCTCAGTTACTGGGTGTCCAGGGAGGCTGCTGACCCCTTAGGCATTCTCTTTATAAGAGTTCAAATGATGTCTTCCCAAGACGTCAGACCACCACTGTTCAAAGTGACCCTCCTCCATCGACTCCTGGCACCGCCCACTTACTTTGGGAACCAGTGCGACTTGCTTCATGGGACCCACCAGGCGGTGCAGAGTGGGTTTGGACCACAGTTTTTTGAATGAGTGACCATCTTGGTGTGAGTGCCCATCCTGCTCTGGAAGGCTGCTTCCTGTGGTCTTGACCCTCAAACAGTTCACCTGTGTGTGCAGACCCCTTCCACCGCCTCCCGAAAGACCAGACCTTTCGGAAACTTCTCTCCAGTCACCCAGATAGCTTGTGTTTCCTGAGGTGAATGAAGATTTTTATTTGATTCAGTAGATCATGTGAATCGCTTCTCGGTCTTTTGGCTAAGATCAAGTGTGGTAGAGCGTGTGAGACTGAGATTAGGTTAGGGAAGAGGGATAAACAATCTGAAGGGAGAAACACACACACGTGAACTGTTAAAACTCCACTCTGGTCTTTCAAACTGTAAAATGGAGTGTGTATATGTGTAAAAGTGTACCTTTTACATGCTTTAAAAACAATTTTAACTTGGTAAGCATATCTTGTTTGGTAAGTGACTGTGGCCTGTCATGGGGCCACGTGGAACCACACTGTATCTCAGTGAGTAACACAAGGCAGCCTCTGCCCTGAATTGGCTGGTTTGGGGTCTGCAACCTCCATTCCTGGCGCACATCACTGCAGGTTGGCACAAGGGGGTGGGGGTGGGGCTGGGAAAGAGTCCCCACCAGACTGCCAGTGTTTCTCTGAGCGCCCAAGAGAAGATAAAGTAGAAGGTGCCCAGTTCGTGGCTTCTCTTTTTTAATCACAGAGTCACCTTACTACAATGCTAGGGTTTCTGAACTTGTTTGCTACAATTTTTTAGTCAACTATTAAAAAAAAAACACAAGCCTCATAGGTAGATCTTTCATCCGAGATGGATTATGTAACAGCGTGGGCAGTTTAGGTTTCCTGGAGTGAGCCAGAGAATAAGACTGAATAAGTGTTTTAAGGTGCTAGCGGCCCCAGTCTCTTAATTCGACCCTTTGGCAGGAGGAGGCTCGCAGCAGGTGGGTGGGTGTGAGACCCATTCATAAAACCCAGGGTTCCCGGCCAGCTGCTCTCATTGGCCTTGGGGAAAGGGGCGTGTCCCACGGTGGCAGGCGCCCCGGCCCCGGGGAGTGGGCTGGTCCACGCCCGAGCGGAGTGAGGGGCGCTCCTTGGTGTTCCAGCCCGGACTCCTTTCCCCCCTCGCTGTGCTCCCGCTCGCCCCCCCGAGG